CGCAGATGTTCTGGTTAGTCGACGGAATACTGATTTCTAACGAAATCAAGCTACAAAATGATTTCGTACGAAATAATGTCTACAAAGTGATTCGTTACGAAATCAAGGTACTGCCAGTGATTTCGTGAAGAAATCAGCTACTGTCGAGGAAAGACTAACACTAATACTTATTAACACTAATAAAATTATTTTAAATTTTTTAATAAATTGTTGTAAACGTAAAAAAGTATAAAAAAAAAAAATACAAAAAACTAAATAAAAAAATGAAAAAAGTAAATATTTGCGTTAATTGCCAAATTGGGGAAAAAAGAGTCGCTGACTTTCTCAGGATCGAGATAAAGCGTGACGCGCAATTCGTCATAACACATATTTGATCAGTTCCGATTGGGGTTGTGCCATATTAAGGCTGGTACAGGAGATAATTTTGCATATTTTGTCACGTGGTTTGTGTTATAAACAATCTGATGTAATCGCAGTGTTCCGTTGAGCGTCACTTCCAGAGCTGTCATCGCAAAAGCGATATCCGATGTGCAGAAGTGTGAAGCCATGGGAGGTGGTGGAGAAGGGAGGAGGAGAGAAGCTGCGGAGAAGGGAGCGGGGAGAAGCTGGTCAGGAGAACTGAGGAAGGGGATTAAGGGAAGAAGGTGGTGAAGAAGGAGGAGGGGAGAAGCTGGTGGGAAGGAGGAGGGGGAGCCAGCTGTGAAGAATGACGGACGGGGAGAGGGACGAAGCGTGGTGTAGAAGGAGGAGGGAGACAGCTGGTGGAGAAGGAGGAAGGGGAGATAGGGAGAAGGTGTGGATGAAGGAGAAGGGGAAGCTGGTGGAGGAAGGAAGGAAAGGGAAGAAAGAAAGCAGGTGGGGAGCAAGGAGGAGGGGAGAACTGGTGAGAGGAGGAGGGGTGAAGCTGGTGGGAGAAGGAGGAGGGGAGAAGAGAGAAGGTGGGTGAGAAGGGGGAGAAGGGATAAGAAAGCTGGTGAGAAGGAAGGAGGGGGAGAAGCTGGTCGTAGCTTCTCCTTCTCCACCGCTTCTCTCTTCTCCACCACCTCCTCTCTTCTCCCCTTCCTTCTTCTCCACGCAGCTTCTGCCCCTCCTCTAACTCTCCTTCTCCCCTCCTCCTCGCGCACCAGCTCCTTCTCTTCTCCGTTATCCCCTTCTCCTTCTCCCCCCTCCTCCTCCACCAACTCCCTTCTCCGCCATGCCTTCTCCCCTCCTCTTCTCTACCAGCTTCTCCCTCTTCTCCACCAGCTTCCTTGCTCCCCGACCACTTCACTCCTTCTCCCGCTCCTCGCTTCTCCACACTTCTCGTCGCCTTCCCCTCTCCCACTCCTCTCTCCCACCACCGCTTCTCTCCTCTCTCCTTCTTCCAATTCTCCACACTTCTCCCTTCTTCATTCTCCACCAGCTTCTCCCTCTCCTTCTCCACCCCCTCGCTTGCTCCTTCCTCCTCCACGCTCTCCCGCATTTTCACTTGCTCTTCTCTCCCCTTTCTCTCCTCCCACACTTTCCCGCCTCGTCACGCTTCTGCCCTCCTCCCACCAGCTTCTCCCTCTTTCTCCCACGCACCTTCCCTGCTCCCTTTCTCCTTCTCTCACAGCTTCTCCCCTCCTTCTTCCAGCCACCTCTCCCTTCTCCCCTTCGTCTCTTTACCATCTTCTGCCCCCGTCTTCTTCTCCACCGCTTCTCCCTTCTCCCACTTCCTCATGTCTCCAGCCCAGCTTCTCCCCCTCCTCCCTTCTCCACGCGCTTCTCCCTCCTCGCTTCTGCCACCAACTTCTCCCTTCTCCCCTTGCCTCATTCTTCGGCCCACATCTCCCGACGTCCTCCTTCTCCACAGCTTTCTCCTCGTCCTTCTCCCGGCCACTCTACCATGCTCCCCTCCTGTATCCGGGCCTGAATATAGCAACCCGTTCCGATTCCTAAATTCGCCGCAGTGTCCACATCCTAGACTGGTGCTCGCTCCCATGCTTGATTACTCGATGGTAACTAAGCCCATCGAGTAACTAAGCCGAGAGGTGGGACACGGGTACCAGTCTATCCATCCATGCCCGGCACGCCCCCATGTATGCATATTGTTTTCATTTTTCTATCTTTATCCATTTAACTATTTTTTCCCGCAATATAATAAATAATAATACGCAAATATTTAATGATTTATTTGTAGACTTGATTTCGTAACGAAATCACTTTGTAGACTTTGATTTCGTTACGAAATCAGTCATGGTGACACTTGGCGCCCCACACGCCAAGTGTAGCATGATTTCGTAACGAAATCACATCGATTGCAAGTAGCTGATTTCGTCACGAAATCACTCGCAGTAGTCCGATTTCGTAACGAAATCACTTTGTAGACTTGATTTCGTTACGAAAATCAATGATTTAGTAACGAAATCAGCCATGCGACACTTGGCGCCCTTCGCCAAGTGTAGCATGATTTCGTAACGAAATCACTTCGATTGTAGTAGCTGATTTAGTAACGAAAATCAGTAATCGCGACATTTGGCGCGCGCGGCGCGCCAAGTGTAGCATGATTTCGTTACGAATGCATCGGCAGTAGCTGATTTCGTAACGAAATAAGTCATGCTATCACTTGGTGCGCACGGCTCGCCGAGTGACGCACTGATTTCGTAACGAAATAACGGCTCAGTGTTTGATTTTCATAACGAAATCACTTTGTAGACTTGATTTCGTTACGAAATCAAGTCATGCTACACGCGGCTAGTGCTGCTGCTGCTGCTGCTGCTGCTACTGCTACTGCTAGTGCTGCTGCTGCTTGCTACTGCTACTGCTGACTTACTGCTACTGCTAGTGCTACTGCTACTGCTAGTGCTGCGCGCTGCTGCTACTGCCACTGCTACTGCTACTGCTGCTGCTACTGCTAGTGCTACTGCTACTGCTGTCGACCAGGGTGGGCATGATGCTTCCTTGAGTCGGGAACAGCAGATATCACTCCAAACTTCACGGTCGCTCATGACTGTGGCCAGCTCCTAGTTGATCTCAGTTGTGTCATTGCCACAGTAGGTTTTTAATAAATGTTTTACGCGTTTACCTTACGATATACCTTTGTGCAATTTTGCTATATGCAAAAAAAATACAACAGCTGCAGTCACTAACTACGCCGCGGCACAGCCCTCGATGTCCGGCAAGCTCGCTTGCACGTGGGAGGTTTGTATTCATGTACGAACACATTTAGAAAGATGTATTAAATATCTGTACCATTCTAGACCATAGTGTGGTGGATTCCCG